AGCTGGAGAGCACCGAGGCGCTCTTTGATCTGGACATTTCGATTCACGCAGAGGAGCCGAAGCGAGACATTCACAGCTTTCTGGGAAAGTTTGTCAACAACGCAAGTGAGTATCAGTTTTTGTTTTGTTGTTGTTTACAATGTTTGACCCTTTACATCTTTTACATCTTTACCTCTCCAGACGAGAAGGAGCACTCGCTGAACATTGAGAACACCTTCTGGGCGAACACAGTGGTCGCCTCGGGCACCGCCATCGGCATCGTCATCTACACCGGCCCCGAGACGCGGTCGATGATGAACAACAATGAGCCCCGGAGTAAGGTGGGCCTGCTCGACCTGGAGGTGAACTCGCTCACCAAGCTGCTCTTTGCCGCCGTCGTCATACTCGCCTTTGCCATGATCTGCCTCAAGGGTAAGGCCTCTGATGATCCTCTAATTCTCATTAGGCTAACCGAACTTATTTCACCATTTAGGCTTCTACGGCTACTGGTACATCTACTGGTTCCGCTACGTCCTTCTTTTCAGCTACATCATCCCCATCAGCCTGCGCGTCAACCTGGAGATGGGCCGCGTCGCCTACTGTCAGATGATTCAGCGGGACGTGGAGATTGCCGGCACGCTGGCGCGGACGACGACCATTCCCGAGGACCTCGGCCGTATTGCCTACCTGCTGACGGACAAGACGGGCACGCTGACGAAGAACGAGATGATCTTTAAGAAGATCCACTTTGGCCGCCTCTCCTACGGCAATGACCTCTTTGAGGAGGTGGCCAGCATCCTCGCCGCCTACTACCGCCAAATGGCGCCCTCGGCCTCGGCGGTCGCAGCCGCCGCCGCTTCGGGCACCGCCAGTTCTGGTGCTGCTGGCGGCGGTGCTGTCGGCAAGACGGGCGTGGCCGCCAACTACCAGACGCACCGGCGGGAGAGCTCCACGGCCAGTACGGCGAGCTTCACGGTGGAGCGTCGCCATCACATGCGCGTCAACTCGTACGACGTCGACCAGGACATTGTGTACCGGGTGCAGCAGTCGGTGCTGGCCATTGCCCTCTGCCACAATGTGACGCCCGCCACGGAGAGCCCGACCTTTGGAGCTGATGGTAAGGAGGAGGTGGTGGTGGGAGGAGGTGCAAGTAATGGTGGTGGCGTCCATGGTAAGTTGTTGCCTCTTCAACGACTGCCGAAGTGCCCGGGGCAGAGCTTTACTGACCGCCTTCTTTTTTATTTCCTTAGACCCGCACTCGGTGAACATTCCAATGCGCGACCTGGCCATCACCTACCACGCCTCCAGTCCGGACGAGGTGGCGCTGGTGCAGTGGACGGAGAAGGTGGGCATGACGCTCCTGTTTCGCGACATTCGCCACATTCAGCTGCGCAACCCGCTGGGGCAGATGATGGGCTTCGAGATACTGGACATCTTCCCCTTCAGCTCGGAGACGAAGCGCATGGGCATCATCGTGAAGGACCTGAACACCGGCGAGATTGTCTTCTACCTGAAGGGCGCGGACACGGTCATGGCCAGCATCATCACCTACAGCGACTGGCTGCAGGAGCAGTGCGACAACATGGCCCGCTCGGGGCTGCGCACGCTGGTGGTGGCGAAGAAGCTGCTCGATGAGGAGCAGTACGCCTCCTTCCAGGAGCTGTACAACCAGGCGAAGTGCAACATGAACGACCGGGCAGCCCGGATCAGGACGGTGCTGGCGACGCTGGAGAAGGACATGGAACTGCTCTGCTTGACGGGTAAGTTTGTGGGTTTTTTGAAAGCATTATCACCCTAACCTTCTTATCCTCTCTCTTTCACTTTAGGCGTCGAGGACCGCCTCCAGGACGGCGTGGCCACCACGCTGAAGGGCCTCCAGGACGCCGGGATCAAGTTGTGGATGCTGACGGGCGACAAGCTAGAGACGGCCATTAGCATCGCCAAGAGCTCGCAGCTGGTGAAGAAGATGCAGGAGTTCTACGTCTTTCGGCCGGTGGCCTGTCGGGCGGACGTGCACGCCGAGCTGAACAACTTCCACCGGAAGAGCGATTGTCCGCTGGTGATCAGGGGCGAGGACCTGGAGCTCTGCATGAAGTACTACTCGGCGGAGTTTATGGACCTGGCGACGCAGTGTCCCGCCGTCGTCTGCTGCCGCTGCAGTCCCACGCAGAAGTCCGAGGTGGTGAACATGATCCAGCAGCGGACGGGGAAGCGGACCTGCGCCGTGGGCGACGGCGGCAATGACGTGTCGATGATTCAGACGGCCAACGTGGGCATCGGCATTGTGGGCAAGGAGGGCCAGCAGGCGTCTCTGGCGGCCGACTTTAGCATTCTGCAGTTTAGCAACATCTACCGGCTGATACTGCTGCACGGCCGCTACTCCTACAAGCGCTCTGCCACGCTCAGCCAGTTTATCATCCACCGCGGCCTCATCATCAGCACCCTGCAGGCCATCTTCAGCTCCGCCTTCTACTTTGCCTCCGTCCCCCTGTACCAGGGCTTCCTGATGATCGGCTACGCCACCTTCTACACGATGTTCCCCGTCTTCAGCATCGTCCTCGACAAGGACGTCCACCCGAAGCTGGTGCTGAAGTTCCCGGAGCTGTACAAGCTGATGAAGGGCCGCTCTCTCTCCTACAAGACCTTCTTCATCTGGGTGCTCATCTCCATCTACCAGGGCTCGGTGATCATGTACGGCAGCATTCTCCTCTTCAACGACGAGTTCATCCACGTGGTGGCCATCACCTTCACCGCCGTCATCCTCACCGAGCTGCTGATGCTCGCCCTCACCGTGCGTACCTGGCACTGGCTGATGATCGTCGCCGAGCTGATCAGCTTCAGCACCTACCTCCTGACGCTCATTCTCGCGCCCTCCTACTTCGACGAGAAGTTCATCCAGTCGCGGGCCTTCCTCTGGAAGGTCACCCTCATGACACTGGTCAGCTGTCTGCCGCTGTACGTGCTCAAGTTTCTCCACCGGAAGATTGCCCCGCCCAGTCATCACAAGTTGAACTGAGCTGATGACGATGATAATGATAATGAGTAACCAGTCAAACCGTGATGATCTTTGATTTTTTAAACGCTGATGATAAAGAAGAAGAAAATGGTACTGATGATACATCCTGTGCATTGTTCTCCCATCCATTTTGGCCCTCATCACCTCCTTCTATCCCGATCTCCGATCTTCTTGTACAGTCCACCACCACCACCACCTTTTCCCGCCTATATTTTTTACGATCACCCTTTCTCTTCTCCCTCCTTTCTGTGCATTACCTCTTCCTCTTTTTATGTCCTGCCTTTGCCTCTTGGTTTGGGCGCCTCCTTTTTATGTTTTTCGTTCACCCACACTACCACCACCACTCCCACCACCACTGTTGTTGTTGAAGCTTTTTTTATCGCCCTTCTCTTTCTATTTTTTCACATCGTTGTTGAACTTACGTCACCAGCCACACAAGCCAGACACACCAGGCAACGCTAACACACACATTTTATTACTAGAACCAATTTTTACTTATAAAGCATTATTTATATTGATGACGAGCTGAAACAGATTGAGCTGTAGAAAAGAAAGCCTTGAACAACAACAAAAATGGCGGCAAAAATGACTGCCCGTCAGAGGGCGCAAAGTTCGAAGACACGCGTTTTCTTCCCATTCGCAGAACACGTTGCAGTTTTAGAGGGCGCTGCCGGCTCCCAGGCAATAAAAAGGCCACGCTTTGCGCCATTCCGCCTCACTTCTGCTCGTGTCACTCTTTGTGCTCCCACGCAACCCTTTTCCGCGCTCACAAACGCTCTCACCGCTCTGCTTTGCAGATTGCCTCATCTCGCGTCACCCTAGCTCGCCTCGCGAAACCTCGTCACCTCTCTCGCTCGTTGCACCTTGCAAGAAGCTACTTCCTCTCGGATTCCAAAGCACCTCGAGCTTTTCGAAAAGCAAATCATCGTCATCATGATTGCTCCCACCGCCAACATGGCCGCCGCCGCCAACGAGTACGACTTTTCCGGCGACTCCGACGTCGCTCCCGCCGCCGCCGTGGCTGCCAAGCCGAAGAAGGCCAAGGGCCCGAAAAAGTCCAACCAGCCGACGATGATGGCCATGGTGGTGGCCGCCTGCCAGAACGCCGCCGACAGCGAGGTCGGTCCTGCTCGCCGCAAGGGCATTTCCAGCCAGGCGATCAAGAAGTACCTGTACGAGACCTTCGGCGTGGACACCATCACCCAGGCCAGCCGCATTCGCAAGGCGCTCGTCACCGCTGTCACCACCGGCGCCATCATGCAGACCAAGGGCCAGGGCGCCAGTGGATCGTTTCGCGTGACCAGCCTCGCTGGCGCTGCCAAGCCGGCCAAGAAAACGGCTCCCTCTGCCAAGAAGCCAAAGGTGGCCAAGGATGCCACTGATGCTGGCAAGTCGAAGAAGGTGGCGACCAAGTCGAAGGCGGTGAAGGATACCGCAGCTGCTGCCAAGCCAAAGAAGGCCGCCGCTGCCAAGAAGACCGCCCCGGTGAAGAAGTCGGCCACTCCGGCTAAAGCTAAAGCCGCCGCCAAAGCTGCTCCCGCCGCTAAGGCTAAAGCTAAGAAGAGCTCGGCCGTCGAGAAAAAGGCTAGCTCGCCAAAGGTCCGCAAGGCTCCTAAGGCCCGCAAGTCGCCGATGGTGAAGAAGGCCGGCGCTGCCAAGAAGAAGTGAGCTGGCCCAAGCCAAGCTCCTCTCTCGCGAAACTATTTCGCCATTTAGTTTTCACCGACACCAACATTTCGAGATTTAGTTTATTATTATTATAACTACAAATACTTTTAACTTTTTCCTTTTTCTACTTCCAATTCTCATCTCTTTCCAAATCACTACCTTTCTTAGTGACTAACACATTCATTCATTCATTTAGTTTCTCTTTCTCTTCCTGCATACTAGATGCACAATTCTAAATTCCATTTCTCACTTATCTTTTAGTTGTAATCACAAGTACAACAATATTCTTGTCAACCAATAAAAAAACAAAAAAAGCAAAGAGGCGCTCACAATCACAGCTTGTTTGGTCGTTTTCAAGTTTAGCGTGATCACCTTTGCTGTGTGTGATCCTCCTCCGTGAACCGTTGGCTTTTTTTGTGTTTCATCAGAGCTTCAAAAAATGCTGATGATAATCCGCGCAGTAATTAGCAAGCGTTTTGTTCTCCTCAAATCACTCCGTCTTTTCTCACGGTCTCTACAGTCTCCGCATCGACTTCTTCTTGGTAGCTGCCGTCGCTATCAGTTGGCCCGATTTAGTCCTCTTCCGTTTGTTCTTCCTCACTCTCGCTCACTTTCACCTCTCGCAAGCTTGTTGTCTGCACGTTAGTGTTGGAAAAAGACGACGACGACGACGAAGTGTCTGAAGGAGCTGCTGCTGCTGCTGTTGCTGCGTTAGGCTAAAAGGCTAACTACTCTCTCACTCGGGATGGCTAAATTTAATCATCTGCAAGAGTGTCTGAAGACTGGACTGCTGGTGGTGGTGGTGGTGGTCAGGCAATCGATGGCAACAGCAACATCAACAGCAGCAACAGCCGCCGCCGCATCAACGCTTGCCAATTTTGCCGTTTACACGCTACCGCCGTCGTCGCCGCCGCCACGAGCCATCAGACGATGATGATTTTCGCTCGTATTTGCCATCAGTGCTGTCCGCCGATCCGGACGGAAACGAGATTTTCCTGCTTTCTTTCCTCGCACATCTCTTTGCTAAGAGAGTGGGGGAGAGAGAGATGTGCACCACACACTTTCTTTCACTTGCTTTCGGTAGTAGCCAGTGGCCAACTCTCTCACTCTCTCCCGTTTGTTCGAACAGGCACACAAACAGACACGGGTGGCAGACACGCGGGTCCCGACAACACACACACATTCACTTGGATGAGACTCAACTTCCCTATTTATATTGTATGTGTGTGTGACATACATGGGCGATTTTTCTTCTTCTGCTTCAGTTGGACTTCTACCACCGCCGCTTCCCCTGCCGCCGATCGCCTTTGGCTACTGAAAAGAAGGGAAAACCGTACTTTGGAGGAGCACTCTCCACACACTCACACTACCACACTCCATCTTCGCCGCTCTTATCATCACCGTAGTTTACAGTGGTCGTCGGCGTC